GAGAGAGGGGCAGAGGGTGCTACAGGAAGGGAGAGGGAGAAAGAGAGAGGAAGAGAGAGGGAGAGAAAAGGAGAGAGAAACTCGCGTGCGTGTCTCAAACGTGTGGCGTCCGGAAAGACACTGAGTCGCAAGCGCCACGCCGTTCGAGAGGCTCTTTCCCTCTTTGTCGTACCCGCCGATACTCCGTCTCATTCTCCTCCGCCCCAACATCCGCTTTTTCCCGCCCCCACCTCCCACTATACATCTGAAACCTGACCCCACTCGTCGCGCAAAAGCGCGAGCGCGCACACCCGCCGTGCGCTGCTGCGGTTTCTTCCTTCTTCGCTTCGCCGACAACGTCTCTCCTTCCTACGCCAGCGAGCACCAGCTCTATCGACGTCCCTGTTCAGTTTCTAGGATCTAGGCCTAGGCCTCTTCCTCCCGCTTGAAGAACGCCACTGTCCTCTAGTCTACCTGCCTGCCTGCGCGCTCCGGCTGATCGCGCCACACTTTTTCACTTGTCTTGTCTGTGGCTTTTGCCTTCCGTCTCTACTTACTTTATCGCCTCTCCCGATGCCTGGCTCTAGACTATCGGACGCTGAAGAACAACGTGGGAGCTTTTATTCACGACTTAGCTGCTACGCTTCGAACGCTTTGACGAATTTAATTTTCATGCTCCGGCCGTTTTTAATTATGTAGGTCGATATACTAGTTCTTCCGGTCTTATTCCTCCTATCTTCGTCCCGAGGCTCTCCCAAGCTGCGGGACACTACTTAGACAGATATTCAAACGCATGATTATTCAGCGGCAAACCTCGATGCCACCCATCTTGCTTTTAAAGTCTTAGTGTCATCCTCGTCCGCATCGTGTACGGTAGAAAAGGAAACTGTCTCCCTCCAAGCAAATGCACCTCTCTCTACCAGACTGAAACGCTATCTCCTCGTCTCGCCTCGACTGTGGTATTTCGCCACTTTCGATTTTACTTAGCAAAGGAGCGCAGGAACGCTCCGCGTTATCGTTAATTTCACAGATCGGTCAATTAAGACATGCTTGAAGAAGTATGTCATTCTATACATAACGAGGTCGGCCAGCTCACTTTTCATTTTCGTCTACTGCCCGTTTTACATGCATTTTAATGCCATTAAAAATAGAAACTCCTACCAATTTCCGGATTATATTTCGGCCTAAATCGTTTTATAAAGCAGCCCACTCTCTGTTGCTTCGAAATAACAGTAACAGATTTTTCTATTGTATTAGATTATTAACATTATCAAGTGATATATGGATATCAGAGGTGATGTTGATTACGAAATTCTTTGAATGATGCAACAAAGTTAAATATCTTAAAGATTTATTCAATGGTCAAGTCAGTAAAGAAACTTTTTTTTTTAAATTTTAATAATTTTAAATTCTAATATAGCAACCGCTCAATATCCAAATTTAATGCTACGAAGACAAAGATGTTCCATGGCGGCCATTATACCACGCGAAAGCGTGGCTCGCTTTGGGTCAGGGCCATCAGGGTCGGGCACTCGTGGGCAGGATCCAAAAAGAATCCCGCTATCTCTGTTCTACCTCCGATGAACACGGAAGCGTCGGTAGTTAGTCGTAGCTGAGCGTAGTTTAGTGAAAGACGACGATGAAAGAAGGTAATTTTGAAGCAAGAAAGAAAATTGAGGAACCGAAAAAACGAACATTGTAAAATGGAAGGTATTCTCACGAGAGAGAAAGAGAGAGAATATATCACCATTAATTACAATAGATACTCATCTAAAAATTTATAGAATTCCCGTTATACGAAATTCTATGATACGAGGAGAATCCCAGAAAACAATTTCCACTTCCTTTTGAAACAATAAGTCTTTTTAATCTCGTATTACAAATTTTTTCGTAGGAAATGTAAAAACTATAATATTAAACACCGAAATAATTGCTCTCCTACTTATGCCCGTTTAAAACTAAATCAAGTTTATCAGCCAATCATACGCGGATCTCAGTTATTTCTTCTTTCATGACGACGTACGCCACACGAGTAAAGAAAAAAGAGAGTGCGGGAGGGCTCGACATAAGTTACGTAGTGAAGGCATGAGGCTCTGAATCACCAGAACCGGTCCGGTAGACGCGATGCCTGTTGTGCGAACGCGGAAACCACGAGAGACCTGCGGACTCTCGCGAGTCACGGAAGGATTCCTTTCTCCTCTCTGCTCACCGCGCTTCTTTTTATATCTCTTGCTTCGTTTTTAGTTCCCTCATTCTCTCCCTTTCCATTCCTTTCCTCCTATTTTATCCTCCTTTATTTTGCAGAGATTCGTCAGATATTTGTCTACCATTTTTCGACTCAAATCTTCTTTTACTTAATTGCATAGCATATTTTTGACGTTAAATATTTTTAATTCGGAGACAGAAGGAAGGAAAGAAAGAGAGAGATTATATATCAACGTTATTACACATAAAATTGTAAATCAATTGTGATATAAAGTTTGAAACAGACGTACTTTACCATAAACTTGACTAAATTAAAAAATTTTATTTATTGCACAATAATTGCTGCACAAAAAATTGATATAAGTTTATCAACAATTAATCAATTGCTAAACAATTAATTTCTTCCATTTCCTTTTGATCTAAGAAATATTTTTAGTACTGTTTGCCTTCGAAATGGATTCAACGCCGTTTGTATTTATACATTCTATTGGCTCGGGAGATCTTAATGCGAGCAAAGACGCCGCAGCTTTCCGGCTAAAGGTCGGTCGGGTACTGAAACGAGTATCGAGCAACCTGTTGATTCTGGACCCTTTCACTCCCATCTCCGATTCGTGCTAGGAGGAGGCAGATGAGGCCATTCTGATTTATCGCGGTATAATCCGATATTTCGTAATATGCGTGTTGTTTCGGTTGATATTATCTTCTTCTATTTTCCCAAATCAGCCACGTAGAATTTTTAGTCTTTGATGCTCAATGGCAAGGTACCGATGTCGCGGAAGCCAATCGATTCCGGCCATTTTCCAGTTCGAGTCTTGATAGCCATCTCGATAGCCACCAGTTTCGCAATCTGATTGAAGCAACATTTCGCGGATCGGATCAGAACTTCGGAACCGGTCGCTTTAGGACCGGGCCAGATGTGAAAACGAAACTTTCGGCGACTTACTTTCTCCTAGGCGTGCATTCCCTCCTCCTCGCCATTATTGCAGAATCGGGTGTGGATTGCCTTGCCTTCTTGGCTCAGCTGCGTTCTTTCCAGAGGACGGACGTCTCTTTTCGTGAATACGACTAATAATTCAACTGCTAAATGCGAAAAGGCACTTTCCTTCTTCGAGCTTCGTTAGCCAATTTTCTTCAACCGTTGCCGGTGATAGTATCAAATCTCTTAGTTATTCGATGTTGCTATTTAAACCGACGAATAGCGCAAAACGCGGCACAAGAAATGCTCCATTTTCTTGCGTTTTATAAACTATATTTCCAATCGAGAAATTTCTAAGTTTTTGCCATACAATAATTACTTTATAGGCATGCATCGA